TTTTTTCCCCCAATTTTCTATCTCCCGTATTAATGCCCCCTGTGGTAAGCAAAATATTTTCGTTACAACCTGAGCTTAATAACCATAATAACGAAGAACAAGTTAAAAACTTCTTAGACACTCCATGCCCAATGATGCTACCAATCAAATGCTTTACTCCTAATAATGTAAAAGAACAAATTTCTAGATGCAATAACTACAAAGCACCAGGCTTCGACATGATCACCGGGCTAATATTAAAAAAATTACCGAGAAAAGGAATTGTCCTACTAACAATGATATATAATAGTACCATTAGATTAGCTTACTACCCGATTAATTGGAAGTTCGCACAAATAATTATGATAAGTAAACCAAATAAACCACCATATACTATTACTTCATATACACCAATCAGCTTACTTCCATGAATGTCAAAAATCTTAGAAAGACTTCTGCTCCAAAGAATCTCAGAAGACATCGAAATTAATTCAGTGATTCCAAACCACCAGTTTGGTTTCCTCGAAGCCCGTTTAACTCTACAACAGTGTCATAGGATTGTAAAAAACATTAATGTATGCCTCGAAGAGAAAAAAATTTGCACTGCTGCCTTCCTGGATATAGAACAAGCCTTCGACCGTGTTTGGCATTACGGCCTCCTATATAAACTTAAGTCATCCTTTCTCACCCCTCACTATCTACTTTTAAAATCATACCTCACAGAACGTTACATTCAAGTCAGATTCCTTACAGAAACCTCTCATTACTATCCCATAAAATGTGGTGTCCCTCAAGGAAGTGTCCTGGGTCCCCTCCTGTACCTCATATACACTGCTGATATCCCAACAACAAATACGACCACAGTAGCCATGTTCGCAGATGACACCGCCATAATATCCATCGATGATGACTCCCAAGTAGCATCAGGAAACCTTCAAATACACCTAAACCTAGTACAACACTGGATGAATAGATGGAAAATCAAAGTTAACCATAATAAGTCTAATCAAATTACATTCACCAATAGGAACATCATATGTCCGAGAATCAGACTGAACAATATACTACTACTACCAGTAAAAACAGAAGTCAAATACCTGGGAATGACACTTGATCAAAAGCTCACTTGGAAAGCTCACATCTTGGCAAAAAAAATCCAAATTAACAAGAAAATACGTCAAATGAATTGGTTAATAGGCCGAAAATCACAGTTATCAACAGATAACAAACTATTGTATAAATGCATAATAAAGCCTATATGGACATATGGAGTGCAACTATGGGGCTGTGCAAAGCATGCTAATACCAAAATCATTCAGAGAATCCAATCCAAAATACTCAGAATGATTTTCAACGCGCCGTGGTACGTTAGTAACAAAACACTGCATGATGACTCTGGTATACCGTTTGTTGAAGACAAAATCAGCAGACTAACAAGACATTATTTAGAAAATCTGCCAACCCATCCCAACGAGGAAGCAAGACAACTACACCTCCAACCAGAAGTCAGACGAAGATTGAAGAGACAGTGGCCAACAGACTTTATACACTAATTTCAATTTTAATTTTTATTTCAATTTTAGTTTCAAATTATAATCCTACATTAATTTAATTTGTTAGTGTTAGTATTGGGAATGTTGTCAATGGATAATTTCTCTCATGTATTTGCAATACTCACATTTACTAATAGCTTGTAATAGCAGATTGTAAATTTGCAAATTAATTAAAAAAAAAATAAAAATATATTATCCGGGAACTGTTAGTCTCTAACTGTATCAGCAACAGATTTATAGTTCATACGCTGGATCTTTGCACAAGTATAACATTCACGAATTATTTTTTATATTTCGTTACGCCCCTTTCCTTTCCACTTTCCTTTTTTAACTAAATTGATAAACTTTAGTCGCATGTCAATACAAAACAGCATACATCGATCTAAGACAGTTATAAAGTGATGGTCGGATTCACCTACTGCCACTATAATAAATTCCAAACGTTTAGGAAAGATCAAAGACACGAATAAAGGTATTAATCACACTATTTCTATGACAAAATCAATAACATATGAAGATTTTGTACACACAGTTGGATCCGCAAAAATATTAGAATTTCAAAGTTTGCATAATTTCAAAGAACTAAATGGAGATTCAACATTGCTCTTTCTTATTCCTCTTCTTCTTCCTTCTTACATTAAAGCCCGTTTCTTCTTCAATATTAGCCTCCTTAGTTATTTAAATTGTCGCACCATCTTTTTCTTGGTCTGCCAATACTTCTTCGTCCATTGTCTTATCTCGTGCTATTCGTACTATCCTATCCTCTGCCATTCTACTGATGTCTTCGTTCCACTTCTGTCTCCGTTTTGTCACCCATCCATTTATGTCTTATATATTGCATGCTCTTCTTATGTTTTCGCTTCTCACCCTATCCAACCAACTTTTCCCTGATATTCGTCGGAGTATTTTCATCTCTGTTGTTTCTAGTAGTCGTCTCATTTTAGATATGTTAGGTCTTGTCTAGACGCATAGACGCATGTTAAATATTTCCTGAATAGACAGAGTTACCAACGAAGAAGTACTACATCATCATCATTTTGGTTTTACAACCCTGTGTGGGTCCTAGCCTCCTCAAGAATTTCCATATTTCTCATATCTTGGTCTATGTTATCTAGGAATCTTGTTCTGTGTCTTCCTGTTCTTCTTTGACCAATAGGTCTATCAAGGAGCGTTTTTCTAGCTGGGTCGGTTCGCTCCATCCGCATTACATGGCCTACCCAACTCAGACGTCATATCTTAATGTGTTTAGAAGTACTACATAGAATGGGTAAAGAGTGCGAACTAGTCGTAACCATAAAACGTCGCAAACTAGAATACCTGGGCCATATAATGCGCAATGAACAACGATATGACCTACTTCGGACCATACTTTAAGGTAAAGTGCATGGGAAAAGAGGTCCAAAACGGAGAAGAATATCCTGGCTGCATAACATGCGAAAATGGTTTAACTTAACCACTAATGGACTTTTCAGGACAGCAGTCAACAAAGTCAGAATAGCCATGTTAGTGTCCAACATCCGTAACGGATAGGCACCATAAGAAGAAGGTCTTGTCTCCGCCGTTGATGTTGATTTAGGTCTAATTGCTGCTTTATAGATTCTTGTTTTTGTATTTTGTCTTAGGTGTTTGTTCTTCCAGATGGTGTCATTAAGAGATCCTGCCGCTTTACTTGCTTTTAAGCTTTGTTACGTACTTCTTCTTCAACCTCTCCATAACTAGTTATATCTATTCCCAGATATCTAAACCTTGCTTCCTGCTTTATTATTTTCCCATCAATTTAGATTTTACATCGTAGTGGGTATTTAGATGTTGTCATACATTTGATTTTTCTGCTGATATTATCATGTTGTTTTTTTTGCCTGTTGTATTGAAGATGTGTGTTAATCTTTGGAGCTCGTTTTCTGTCTTGGCGATTAATGTGGTGTCATCTGCATAATGTAAAATCTTTGGATTTCTTTGTACCCCATTCTGTAGCCATGACCTTTACGTACTACTTGTATTATTTCGTCCATTATTATATTAAAGAGAAGTGGGCTTAACAAGTCTGACTCGGCGTTGTACTGGTATACACTGTGTTAGCTTTCCATTTATATTTGCCTGTATTCGATTATGGAAGTAGATGTCTTCGATGGTTTGTTTAATATTGATTTCTATGTTTCTTTTATACAGTAGGTGTAAGACGTCTTCGACTTGGATGTGATCGAAACCCTTTGTTAGATCTATAAAACATAGATATGCTGGTTTATTGGGTTTATTGGTTAGTTTATTGGTGAAACAGAAGGACCCTGAAGATACCATGGACAGACAAAGACACCAATAAAGAAGTACTGCGGTGGATGAACACAACCGCGGATTTGTTCAACATCGTAAAGGGCCGTAAGCTGCAGTAAATAAGACATACAATGAGAAACTAAGGCAGATACGAGCTCCTTCAATACATTTTTGCAAGGTAAAATTAAAGGAAAAAGGGCCCCAGGACGAAGAAGAATATCCTGGCTTGGTAACCTGAGAGCATGGTATAGAAGACCTCAACACAGCTATTTCGTATAGCAACCAACAAAGTCATCATAGCCAGAATGATGGCCAACGGTCAGAATGGACAGGCACCCTAAGAAGAATTGGGTTTATTGTACTCAATGGCATTTTCTGTGATTTGTCTTAGTACAAATACGTCGTCTTCGCTGGATCTTCCGGATCTGAATCCTTGTTGTATATAAAGGTATATAAGTTTATAAGCTATATAGGTACATTAGTTTGTGTATAAGTTTTGTCATCTCTAGGGTTATACTTTCTCGTCCGTGTTTTAGAAGCTCGTTAGTTATTCCCTCTGGTCCTGGTGACTTTCTATTTCTTTAGTGAATTTATGGCTATCTTTACTTCCTGAAAACTGATTTCCATTTCGTGTCTTAATTCAGGTACGTTATTGTGTTAATTATTATGTTCCTTTTCTTTAAATAGTTCCGTCAGGTATCTTTCCCATTCGTTTGTTGGTATGTTATTGTATTCCTTTAATTCTGCCATTTCTTTCCATCCTTTTTGTAAACTGTTCCCAGTGTTCTTTTTTGTTTTTCTTACCAACTGCTTTGTTTCAATTCGTATTTTTCTAATCTGTCCTAATCCTTTCCTAATCTGTCTTTTTATTAGTTACGGTGGACTAAATTCCTTTTCAAATGACTGTTAAAACTATAGTTTGGTGATCAGAGTTCATATCACATTCGTCGATTACATCAAGATAGTTTACTGACTTGAAAGATAAAGAAGTGAATAAGACATGGAATTTTATTGTTATTAGTAGGTCAGTATGTTAGTCTACCAGTAGATAGGACGATAAATAAAAATGCAGATACGTTTGCTATAAACCTAAAAGGATAGTGAACGAAATTAAATGGTAAAGAAAATTCACGATACGAGGGCGAACTATATTCCCATAGGAATAAAATATTACATAAAATATCTTTCAAAACATACCTTGATATCCCCTCAGCTCACTTTTCCGTGCCTTTTCTTCTTTTAATCGTTTCCTCTCAGCAGCTTTTAAACCTTCTAGTTTTGCCAATTCTCCCAATTGTTTACTATAGCGGCCATACATCTAAAAAATAATTCCTTTATATACATGTTTCATTTTATTTTATATTTTATGTTCATACTTTTATTAATAAAAACAAATGATTTTTTAATAACATGTTTTTAAATGGGAAAGAACGTTATTTGATCTTTCGGTTTTCGCGTAATTTGTATTTATTATATTATTACTTCAGATTGATTTATTTACAAATTGTTTTTATTGAAAATCATTTTTTGGTAAACATCGATAAAATAGCTTACTGAGTCAAACAGTTTCATATGCAATTAATCTAATTGTGATACATTCGTAAAATACGTTCCCTACAATTAACACCAATTATAAAAAATAAAATTTTATTCGCAGATAAAACAAGCTAGTTATTTGAGAATAAATTCCATCATATGCTATTGTGCTATTATGCTATTAACTATCTGTATAACGGACATTTACACATTTATATTTTTGTTTCATAGGCTTTTCTGAACTCAACAAAGATGTTGTATTGGAACTTCGTTTTCTTCTTTAGTTTCCTTTATTTCCAACAGAGACAGGTTAAGCACATTTTTGACGAAAACTGGTCCTGCCTTACCTCATAAATAATTTATATTTTTCGGATAACAAAAGTTGTCTCCAATTTCTAGTTCTACCTATTCCTGCTTCAATGAATCATGCTACTACTAGATAACTCAAAAATTGAGCAAATACCTTAGTACAAATACCTTGGAGCGTGTATCACAAAGGATACTGATAATACAAACGAAATAAGATGCCGCATTGAAATTGCACGTTCAAATTTTAACAGGTAAAGATACTGGTGGAGATATTGGTGGAGATACGTAGACGACGTACTGGTATGTTTCACAGGAACTAGCAGGCAACTCGACCAATTTTTATCGTTATTAATTCACTTCATAGTCATATTGAATTTACAATAGAAACAGAACAAAATCAATCCATAAATATTTTAGATTTAAAATTTATCAGACTTAAATACAAACATGACTTCTGCATCTTTGATAAACCTACCCATACTGACATGACTATCCAAAATTCATCATCCCATCCAACACAACATAAACTGGCAACTTATCATAGTATGTTACATAGATTAACAGAAATTCCGATGTCAAAATACAACTTTGAGACAGAATTAAATATAATTAAGCAAATAGCAGTAAACAACGGATACAACGAACAAAAAATTAATAAAATGTTAAATCAAAAACTACACAAGAAAGCCCTGAAAATAGTATTTCCACCACCAGAGAAAAAACCCAGTACCTTCTGCTCGATTACATATACAGGCAAAATAACAACAAAAATAGCCAACCATATAAAAAAGAAACACCAGCTTTCCGAACAAATAAAAACCTAGGCAAATATATTAAAAATAACAAGAGCCAAAATAAAAAACACTTAAATAGTGGTGTGTACAAACTTTAATGTGGCGACTGCCCAAAAACTTACATCGGTCAAACTGGTAGAAACTTTAATAAACGAATAGCAGAACATAAAAGGGCTTTCAATAATAGAAAAACAGATTCGACATACGCACTTCACCTTCTAGATCATAATCATTCTTTTAATGACAAATTTAAAATTCTTCACATTCAAAATAAAGGCATTAAGCTATCTTTGTTAGAATCTATGGAAATCAACAAATTAAAAAACACAGATATAATTCTGAATGACCAACTTGAGACAAACAGTTCTCCCCTCCTCAACCTATTTCATTAGAGACTATAAATTGTAAACGCATGCCAAAAATAGATCACTTGAGAAAGGCAATCAGCCGAAAGAGCTATAGTGATAAGAGTTAAAATAAATTTTGTGAAATTTTGAAAACAAAGTTTTCAGTGTTTTATTGTTACGTAAACATAAACATTTTTCGAAGTAAAATAGTTACGTGAAGTTGCTAGTCCTGAGACGGTGTGTCTACGAGGACTTTATGAAAGCAACTAAGTTTTTATGTAATTTTCTATGTCTATAATATTCTACTCATATTTTCATAGTGTTGCTAAATAGTTGTGTATGACCCTGAATTCGTAACTAAACAAAATTCATAACTAATCAAAACCTATTAGTTAACGTGTTTTTCATTTAACACTTTTCGATACTTTTCCAGAGATATTATCTGGTTCTTTCCGTGGACATTCTGACAGATTTATCGTTTCTTATTTTGATAATACTTAGTATTGCTGTAAGTATTTGCACTAGTTCTATCAATTTCCTGTCAAAATCTTCTTTAAATAAGCTCAAAATATTAAAATGTTTCTTTCAACAAATTTGGACATAATTTCCTCATCGTTTTCTCATAGTTTACTCACTTTGTATTTATTTTAAGAGAAGTCGTCTTCTTTAATTCAGTTCTCTATAAATCATCATATCTCTTGACAGATTTGTTCTGTTAAAAACCTCTCCAATCAGGTCTTTGTTCTCCCACCCGTTTCAAGAATTTGCGGCTCGCAGTTATTAGTATTTAGTGATTATGATTTCGAATCAACGTTAAACAGACCCATCCATTGTTATTTTTATCCTTTATCCATCTAAACATTCTCATTTTCTCCACATGTATTCGTTTTTCTTCTTTTTCCGCACCCAAAATCTGAATAAACGATGCTTTTGGTCTCTCCATATTTTACGTAATTTTCTTCATCTTGGAAGTCTTATGGAAAAGACATTATAGTTTGAAAATATTTTTCAGACCATAGTTTTAGCTTCTAGTTGGTGATATTCTCTTCCTTTTGGTCTTCCTTTTGGTCTTCCTTTTGGTGTTCTTTTGTTCTTCTCGTTAGTGCCTGCCTTATAATTTTTTTTTGGGCTAGGTCTTCCTGCATCTGTTCCACGTGACCCATCTAGCGCATCACATTTTTATAAACGTAGTGATGTCTGCTTTTTTATATGCATTGTACAATGCAAAGTTGTATCGTCTACTCCACACTTTGGTTTCTTGCACTCCCCTGTATATATATCTCAAAAGTCTTCGTTTTAACGTAGGTAGTAGCTTCTGATCGCTTTTTGGCAGGGCTCATTTGGCAGTGCAACAAATTTTACATTTGTTCTTCTTATTATGTAATCAGATCTTAAGTATTTGACCGTTATCTGTTTTAGTTACGATGTATACTCTCCTTTCGTTTGATGACTTTACGAATTCTGAATTGATGAATTCAGAATTACTTGTTCATTCTGCCTACAACTTTAAAATATCGTATGTGCTTATTTGGGTAACGCTGTAAAACAGATGCTTTGTATATATAATCGAACGACATGGCGTCAGATGTCAAGATAAGCAGTGTCCTCGGTATCGTGTTTACTCTAAAATCCCAGTTTCTTGGACTCGTAGATTGTTTAGAAAAATATTTATTTACAATCCAATAACTATCAACAAAATTTGTAATGATAAACTGTTACACATTTTACAATATTAATAATATTTTTTACAATGAAAATGTGATTAACAATTTATTGATGCCGCTTTGATATGTATTTTATAATATATGTTATGGATTCTTTTTTACTGTATACATATATCTTCCTTATTTTCTTTAAATCGGATTTTGTGTAAATGCTTTAAAAAGTAACATTTTTTATTTAAACATAATATTATTTTTATGTACATATGTATTATCTTCTTGCTCTTGTTTTTGTTCCTTGCAATTGATCTCATTTTGTGTTATACTGGTTTGTGTTCTTTCAATGCCAAATGTTTAAATTTTTTAAATTTAAAACTAATTTAAAATTAGACTAATTTTTCAATTCAATCTGCACGATGGAGCGATGAAATTTGCAAGCTATTTGCACAAATTCATTGTAACCAACCAAAAGACATGTAAGACTTCTGTTATGGCTCTAAAAAATGAGTATTTTATAACTACAAGATGTTATTCATTTAAGAATAAGCTAAAATATATTATCTTCTACATGACAGGTCCTACAGCTTCTTGACGCATTCCGCAGGGATCAATGGAATGTGTAACATCGAGACGCAACGTTCCATCTCTTGTCATATTGTTAATCCATAGCAATTTGAATTTACCTTACTGTAATATTTGGTCAGCACTTGATTTTTTAGGTCAGACGTGGCACTGGTATCTTCCCACTATTTCTTCGGCGTAGGAGAGCATTCTACTGCATATCACATTAGATAGTTATTTTATATGACATATTGAGTAGTCATGCCTCTTATTGTATAGCGTCATGTCTCCATTTTTGGAACGTGTGAAACTTGTTTGCACACACTTGTTTCACCTGTTTCAAAAGTAATCATCGCTATTTTTAAATAGTTCAGCAGCTCATATTTGTACACAAAACAAATTGCTCGAAACCGTGACCAATAGCCGACGTCTTTAGTACCTGGATAATATGATATCTTCTTTCTATTCTAACAAATTCTACGAAATTTCAAATAGGATCATTATCATCATCATAAGCCGTTTTCAATCCTCTACTGAACATAAGTACAAGGTACTTGTACTTATGTTCAGTACCATAAGTGAAGCACATTTTGATCGACTGTCCAATATACTCAGTTGAAAGACCAATCACCACCTTCCGACCTTTCAAAAATATTAAAAGAACTTCTAGGAGAATATAAATGCATAGCTGACTGTAGAATTCTTAAAATCTATAAACGATATTAATATAATTTAATACAATATATCAATAAATAAAATACATATTTAGTCCAGGCTGTGAGGCCGCTCCCGTTGGGAAAATGTTTCTGATTCGGTTTCTTCGCGGATTCCGGTTCAAAAATGTCCCCTTTAAACAAATCTGAAGGGTGCCGGGCGAAATTTTTGGGCAGAAATTGTTTAAACAATTTTTTTAAACAAATTCCAGAAATATTTTTTTTAATATGGAAAACGTTTTTTTAGTTTTTTTGGCTCATTTTAAACAAAAAAAAGGTCTCTTGTCATTTTTCTCTAAAGTTGATAGTTTTCGAGTTATAAGCAATTTAAAGTCTGAAAAACGCGAAAATACGCATTTTTGAGCCTTGAAAACACATATGTAGATTATTATTTTTG